TAGTTACTCAGCCTGAATCATGCATTTTTAAGTACAAAATTTTGTAACTCAAGAAGGTAGAGTAGAAAATGAACTTGAATGCTTGTCAGTTGGCACTGCTGTAAAATTGTTCTTGTAGCCATTTGGTTATCAGTTTTATTTACACATCATTAAACACTTTTTGCTATTAGTTAAAGGTGCATTGTGTAACTTTTCTGGTGGAGGATCTGTCTCCTGCTTGTTTCTATACATATGTCGTTGTAGGGCTGAACGATCTATCGTTTTGGGTCTAAAATCGCAGTCTCAGACAACATGATTTTGGGAGCGTCAAAGCCATGTTTTTTTGCAGTGCTCCTAAAGCCCAATTTATGGATTTATGGATCTGCGTCGAGGTCTAATTCACTTCCACAAAGTGAGGAGGCAAGGATTTAAACCTGGTGTTCGTGTAAAGTTACATGAACCATGTCCAACTCAACAGAAGCACAGAACAGACTCAACATCATCAGCACATCCTCTGTCACAGAAAGAACACTCATAATCCATTGAGTCTTGTCCTTTAGTCCAACAGAAGCTGACCGCATCAGCACACAAGGAAAGAGGTGTTGTTTTTCAGCGCTTACAGTTTATGCAAATTAGCCATGTTGTTTTAAATTTCATGTCTGTAAAACGTAAACAACTATATTGAAAGAAAGAAAAACGGAGTACAGGAGATATATGTAGAGCGGTGGTAGAGAGGACCAATCACAGCCCTTATTGTCTGCGTCACTGCCCCTGCTGTCTGCTTTGTTTTGGTGCGTAGTTACGGTTCAGCGGCAAATCGTCGGTGCAGGACTCTGGTATGATTGAAGTTTCTGTGATGTTTGCAAATGATCGTGTGCACTGAAACTTGATTTGAAAAAAATCATGGATGAAATCTAAATCGCAATATCTGCCAGAAAAATTGCAATTCAGTTTTTTCTTAAAATCGTACAGCCCTATGTTATTGCTCTGAATGTTTCATAATATGACATTAAACTGCTCTACCTTACATGTATGAGTGAGTTTATAGCTCCAAAAATAGCTAGAATAACAAGCATTCTGACTGCGAGTGGGGTCGCCTCTCCACAGATTTCCACTGTAACTTGGTCTGGTTTGGTCTCCATGAAAATAAAAAGGTTCGTTACCATACTGTGAAACATTTCAGACAAACATTTGATGGATCCTCCACCAGAAAACTTACACAATGCACCTTTAAGTTTTAATAAAAATTGCCATTACGGTCTGTAGCACATAGCAGTTTCACATAACCTTTATACCTTCTCAGTCGGAAAGAATCTGAAACTACAGTGATCTAAAAAAATATGTATTTGACTCATCTCTGACCTTCTTAATGTTACAGTTGACAGAACATAAAACAAATAGTGCTTCTAAATGGGGTAGCCTTTTACGCTCCATAGCAACCATAACAGTACAAGTACAATAAAAGTGCCACTAATCCTTCTTTGGGGTGCATGCTAAATGTAAGGGTAATTTAGTGTTTACTGGGCTTAGGGCTAATCTACAGTGACTTCTCCACATTAGCTTTCCTCTGTGTGTCTTTCAAAGTACACAGCAGCTTTAATGAAAGGGCCCCGGGTCATATCTGTCCTCATGCTACAAACAGACCACCGAGCTGCGCCAAAATCCACGCTTTGAAATCTGAAAGTCTCTCCTACACATCTGTACAATACTGGATTTACGGCTGCACGGCTCATGTGATCCCGGGGTTTAGGGAAACGAGGCGGCCATGTTTGGGAGGTCTTTGGATCTGTACTGGAAAAATCCGGGTCACTGCAAGTTCACAACAGGTTTTGCCACAGTTTTTTTTTTTTTTGGTTTGTTTTATGGAGTAACTATTATTACATTTTACTATTAAATTTAGCACAGCTGGTCTCCCATTGTCAACTCATGTGCCGTTCTGATTAAATAAAAATAGCATATTGTTATTGGGATAATAACCTTTTACTTACAGCACTATTATTTGAACACAATATAGGATTAAGCATATAACTTTTGCATTGCTAAAAACACCTTGCAAAACATATATTCTTCTCTTTAAAGCTCCTGTAACTTGGCCTGGTGGCGCAGCTTGCTTGTCTCCATGGAGATATTAATGCTTTACTATGGTACATTGCAGGTAAAGAACTCCATGAAGACCAGTAGTTAAAATGGTATAGTGCACCTTAAGGCTGTGCAATTAATCAGATTTTGATTGCGATTTCGATTTGTGTGTCAAATGATCTCCAAACTCAAAATTGAGTTGAAACGATTTAAACCTTAACAAAATTTATTTTGGGATATTTTTAATATAAATAAGTATATATATATATTTTTTTTAAATACAGAGCTTGTAGAACAACAAGATTTATAGTTTATTTTGGATATATTTATGTTTTTCTATGCCTTATTTCATGTTCAAAGTGTATTTTGTATTTTGTTTTTTATACATTGCAAAATTGCCTAAGGTATTTGTAGCCTATATTTATTTTTGATTTGAAAGTTTTGCGTAAATTATCAATAACTGTGGGCGTGGGGGGGGGGGGGGGTTGAGAGAGAGAGAGAGAGAGAGAGAGAGAGAGAGAAATGCTGAATAAGCACATTGTGTAACTAAAAAATAATCATTTGAATAATCAAGATTTCAGTATTGACCAAAATAATGGTGATAATGATTTTTTGAAAACCCTGTCCATGCAGTATGTCCCTGTGTGTTTTATTTTCACATGAGTATTGTTTAGAGGGAAAGTATTTTAGGATTGGGAATAGGGATGGGCATGATTAATCGATTAATCGATAATTGATCATTAAGAATTTCATCGATTACATTAATTTTAATCGACAAACCGAATGTAGGTTGCTGTGCGTAGTGTGACCAAACAGGGGTCCGTACATGTAGCTCTCTGCACTCAGAAGGAGCGAGCAAACACAAACATTCGGTCAGTCTGCAACGTACCGAAGCACAAATGCGTATTTAACGATGACTTGTACAAGAAATTCCACGCTTTCCGTTGCGTTCGGGACAAGTGTGAGTCCATGTGCACAGTTTACAAAGCAGGAACATATGTTTCGGTGTCCAGTGGGAAAAAGCTTTACCAGGTGAGAGTCGCGCAATGTCGATGACGAGTCCCCACCTCCCACCCCCCCGTACGGTGTCCTGGTTTTGACAAACGCAAATATGGTCACACTAACCTGTATTCCACTGAGTCATGTCTTTTAATCCGACAGAAATTGAACTGCATCAGTGCACAAGAGCTGTAGTTTTATCTTCGCTGAGTTTATGCAAATTAGCCATGCGGTTTTAAGTTTAGTTTCTGTGAGAGTTGCGCAAAACTGAATTTAAACACATTATAATGTCAAACGGATTGATGTGGCTATAGAGTCGTTACGGTTTATATGTCGTAAAGTTGAATTTATTTATGCAGATTAGTAGTGCAGATAGTAGTAATAATGATGATAATTTTAATATAATAACGTTAATGATTAATCGATAATTGATCGTTAATTCTTCCGACAATCGATTAAGAAAATTTCATAGAATGCCCATCCCTAATTGGGAATATTCTACTGTATTTTGCCCAGTAACACAAATACGCAAATGCTCTTTCTGTTACTGAGTTGTGCATTTATTTGGATTTAAATAGAACGAAAACATCACAAACCTCTCTTTGAAGCACCGCTTTACTGCGTGTCACCTGTGATAAACGCTTTCTACAGAACAATCCGCTCACATAATTGACACTTTGAGATGAAGCCACAACAATGTCACAGTTTTGAGTTTGGCTCGAGGCGACTAAAGCAGCTCAGAGCAGGGAGTGCAAAACAACACAACAGCAACTCGTGGTGTAACTGAACGGAACAGTCAAAGGCTTTACACACAGGCACGGCTTTGTTTGTGTACGAGCTGTTACTACTGTAGGACATTTGGAATTAAATATGAGCTTTGTACAATAGCATTCTCATATCAAAGATGTTTTTATTATTCTTAGCTTTTCACTGGTTATGACAAGAGATCCAGGATACAAAAACTAATCTTTATACTATTGTGCCACTGCATGCACAACATTTACTTAGTCATAATACAGTACAATTTCAACTTCAAGGTCATAAAAGCAGCATAATGTTTCGATAAAATCTGGGTTGGCTAATGTCCCTTTACTCTTCACTAAACTGTTTCCTGATTCAACATTTAATTTCCTATTGACCTTTATTGTCCCCAATTGTAAATTTGCTTTCACAGACTATAATTTAGGGGTGCAACAATATCCAAGTCTCACAATACAATATTTATTGCAATATCGTAGGAAAGCTCACGATGGTGGGGAGGCTCAGGATTATGGTTGTGGGGGGTAACAATATCCAAATCTCTCGGTACGATATTTTCACGATATTCATCTCATGGTACAATATTTACTGAGATATTTTGGAGAGGCTAACAAAACTTAACCCTAAGAAGACTTAAAAGTGCTTAGAACACTGAAATGGAGTAAAGGATCATGGTCTATGTAGTTCCCTCTGTCTTTTTTAGCTATTGCTGCACCATAACTCCTAATTGAAGCAAGGAGACTTGTAATTCGATATACTGTGATGGTCTACGATAGTATTGTGAGAACTTTGACGATACAATATCACGATGTTTCGGTTATTGTTACATCCCTACTAAAAAAATGCATCAAATACATTTATTATGAAGAAGAAAGTGTATAAAATTTTACTACATTGTTCTCTTAGTAGGGCTGTGCATCAAAAAATCATTGCTGAATCATTTTTCACTATATTTATCTAGAGAAGCTAGCTGGGAGGCATACTGTTGTTGTGCCTCGGGGGAAGAATCTCCAGTTGTGACGGGCAGTATGTGCTTGGTTGCATCATAATAAAATGAGTGTGACAACCTCCAAAAAGTGAAAAGTTGAAAGATAAAAAAAAAAAGTACATCCTACACACCTGTTTATTTTGTCCATGCCTGTTTCTCCTTATGTCCTATAATTATATGCTTGTGTGTGTTGCAGGCGGGAGGGGGAGGGCGTGCGAATATACTGGGACAGACAGAGGGAGCCCTCGTTCACCTCCAGGTGGAACCCCTTTGCCACGGACATGCCCTTCATCACCTTCACCACACACCCAGTCCAGACGCTGAGCTCCTCCTTCTCCTCCTTCTGCAACGTGAGTTTAATATCCGCTCACATAAACAGAACAGGCATCAGAACATTGGGTGGGGTTCAGAATGATGAGACAAATAAAGTTAGAGCTGTACCTGTTAACTGACTAACGATTTATGGTAATGCAAAGCTGGAGGTATCTAAAATAGTTTAAAGAGACTGAATAAGAATAAGCCTAAAAACCATATAACACAAAATGCATCAAATTGTATAACTGTACAATAGACATTTGAATCAATCTCTAATTATATATCAAACAATAATTTTCTTTGTACAGTATACTAAAATATTGCTTTATGGTTATTAAAATGAAACAATAATTCAGAAAGTTGTCTTTTTGGATCTCACTATTCTAATGTTTTCACTTCTTGGCAAAGGTGGGGTTTGTGGGAGTGGATATCTCTCATCTCACCACATCAAATCTGAACTGAAAACGTTGCACACCTCTGAAATAATGTGCTCGGAGGGCTTCAGCTGTGGCAATACTTTAACTACAATTATTGAGTCAAGACAAAGGCATGTGGCCTGCCTTTAAAGATACATCCAGGATCATTAATTAGTTTCAAAGCAGAGCTGCCAGACCTTCTTGCTGTCATATCTTCTTCTAATTTTCATTATCAAACTATGTAGTATAGGCAGTTGGATAATGAATTGATGTTTTAATCAAATGCTCACATAAAATAGACAACTATAGTGCTTCTGCTGCAGAACCTTCTTGGCCCACTAGGGGGCTGTGCACCTCAGTTTGGAAATCATATATTTCAAGCAATAGTGGCAATTTTGTCTTATACTAGTTTCCAGCAGTTTCCCGTTGGCACTGTTATAATTTTAACTCAAATTTATAATTCTTTATCTTTTCAAAACTAATAAAACTGAAACTGTACACTATTTATAATACAGCAATAAAATGTCACCTTTACTCTTGTTATGAATTACCTAATAACATATTAAGTATAGATCTGGTATTAAAAACATGCTATTTCCTGGTTACTCATAATTCATTCATTTCCTATTCTGAAATTCACAGCCAAATAAACTTTGCAACAGTTTTATTCAGCATAAACATGATTGTGGGTAGGTGTCATGATGTGGGCGAATGACTCACTCCTATGACTGGAAATGATTAAATTCCTGCGTATCCCAGCTCTAAGACAACCACACAATCTCACATTTCCACGGTCTCCTCTGATGATCTGAGATAAGAGGCCGCGCTCCACTGCACTGTTAATAATGACTGCTCCAGGTGACTTTTCACAGTCTAAAGTGTATTACTGTAAACACATATGTCATCCTAAAGGGCTGACTGAGGAGTGAAGCAATGTACTGAGACGTCACACTTTGAATCACAACAGCCTTAACCTGCTGTGGGCGGACATGCCATTGTGCTAACGGCTGCAGAGGATGAGTCTTATTATGATTATGCTTAAATGAAGTAAAAACTGTTAAACTTCTCTAAGTTTGTTTGAAATTATCATCCTGATGCTGTAGTACAGGTGTAACATGATATTAGTGACTTGATACCTGCTTGTAGATGAACTGGGAGCAGAGGTGGGCAGAGTAGCCAAAAGTTTTACTCAAGTAAGAGTAATGCCATTTAAAAGTAAGTATGGTAGATATTTAATAGACCACAAAAATTAGTTAAACAAAGTCATGTAATATTATCATAATGCACTTGTGGACTTATGGCAAAGGATAAAGTCAGTTTGTGAACTGGACGTTTTTGATCTAAACATTTGTCTAGTTGACAAATTGAATTTCCCCTTTGCCATAAGTCTACAAGTGAATTATGATAATATTAGATGACTTTATTTAACAAATTTTTGTGGTCTGACAAGTTGAATTTCTCCTTTGCCATGGATTCTGTCTGGACTACTGAAGGATTCTACACACTACTTGTAGACTTACTCACAGTGGGAAGAGTAACCAAACCTTTACTCAAGTAAGAGTACTGTTAGTTCATACAAATAAATATACTGCTAGAAAAGTATAGTGAAAAGTACATTTAAACAAAGTGACTTAAGTAAATGTGAGTTCTACCCAACTCTGACATATGAAACCTGTCTAAAAGTGTCTTATATGCAAATGTATTATATGCATTGGTCTATCCATGTTCAGTAGGGGCTTCTAGTTATATAAATGTTTTTTTACAGATTAGCCACTCAGTTCTGTTTTATACAAATGTGAGCTTTTGCTGCTGTTTTCTTTAGCTCAATTTGCACTGTAAATAGACAAATTACAAGTCAAAGAAGTGTGAATGTTTATTTATTTTAAAAAGGTTTCTTCTCTAATGACCCCACCTTCAAATTATGCAATATTTCCAGTGGTGGAAGGTAAAAAAGTTATTTAAAAAAGCAATATTTAATGGCAAAAATAACTGTAATAGTAATAGCGTGAGTACAGTATGAGTTTTCAGCATAACATTTCTTTGTGTACATTTAATTGCATACATCGTATTGAATACTGTTTAGAATGTGGCAATTGTAGTAGTCAATTAGTTATCCTTAACCTTAACTTTTATTTAAATAGGTCATTCTGTTTATTTTACTGTAGTGCTTTGTGCAAAAACAGAGAAACAGAGAAAAGAGAACATTTAATCCAGTGCTCTGAGTCCCGCTGCACTTCTGAAAAACCATAAACGTGTTCTGAGAAAAGGCAGTCTAACACAAATTCCAAGCAAAAAACTGTTTACCTGCATCTTCTGCTGAAACACGGATACCATTATACCTGGAAATCACTGCAGACTTCACTCTAGGCCCCGCCCTGATTTGGCCTCTCTCTCTATTCTCAGATCATGGCATTTCGAGATGTAGTCCAAGAGGCCGCGCAGAAGGCCAACACCGCCAAGCCTGTCCCGGGTCGAGCCAACGGGGTGCTGCTCCTAAATCAGCCGGTGCACATCGACGCTTATGTGGGTGCCATGTCGAACCTGGGGAATGGGAACAAGCTGGGCTACTCCATGGCCCGGGGCAACCTGGGCTTCTGAACTCTGAGCGCACTTCAGCACCTCTGCATCTGCTGTTTACAATTGTACATTTATGTTTCGCAAGGACCGCTTTTATTAAAGACTGTAACATTATATTACTATGCATTTCTGTGTGATTTTCTTAGCTTTTTGTATTTTTGGTAAACTGCTGAAGCTGCAGACCATTAGTGGATAACATTAACTATTGGAGCGAGCAATTGTATGTGCACATGTAATTGCAAAATGTTACTACAAAACATTTTGAAGAAATAAATATATTGAATAATTTTACATCTTTTGGAGTGATGTTTGAAAATTATGATTTATCCTATATCTTTTTATCACTCATGGGGATGTGGACACTGGCATTGGTAGAGTCTAGAGCAGATTGTGATTGGCTGACGGCTATGAACATGTGACAGGAGATCAGGACAAGGTAAGAAACAGCTCTTAATGCTCTTAATGGTTGCATTTACTCTTCATTTCTGTATTTGCCTGCATTGACTGTGCGCGCTCAGATCTACCCACATTTCGACACAGCTCTTGAGCAGATGACAGATCTCCTGCCTCTCTTTGTTTTAGCTCCTCGGGGATAATAATGTAATTCAACTCTTTCGCAATGGAACCTTCTCATCCCTCCCTCCCACCCACCTCTCCTCCCCCCTCGGGTGTGCTCTTTCCCAGCCTCTCAGCCCCTTAAAGATTCAGCGGAGCATGGGACCACATTTGTCAGTTCAGTTTTATGTGGCGCTGTGTATTTTTACAGTGCGTACAGCGGTGGAATTTCCCCCTTGATTTGTGTGTTTACTGTGTGTTGAAGTTGACATCTGTTTGTCAGCGGAGCACGCCACAAACAAGACATCCTGGGTTAGGTGTTCCTTTTATTTTTAGTGCACATATTTAGAGGGGAAAATATTCTCTTACACTGGCATTCTACAAATCAGTCAATACAGAGTAGTGTGGTTTAGGCTGGGCAAAGGTCAGGTGACAGTAGTGAAGAACGTATGCCTTCGAGAGGTGGTCGACCTTTTAACCAGGGGAAGTCTATTGGAAGTTATACAGCTTTATTATAGCAGATGAAAAGGTCAATTCTGTCAACTTGGATGGCTGTGGATCCTACCTTGACAACTGACATACCATTTTATTGACAAAATCCATATTCAAATTTGAAGATGTTAATCTTTTTAAAGGGTTAAGGTCACACATAATGCTTAAAGGTAACCTACTGTATTTTATGCTTACTTCACCAAAAAGATCAAAGTATCAAGATCCATCATCTTTAGATCAGGGGTGTTAAACTCAAATTCACAGAGGGCCAAAATTAAAAACTAGGACTGGGAACTGGGAAGTCGTGGGCCAAACTAAATATTTATTGAAAAATTTCAACAGCATCTGCATGTTTTCTCTTCTTTAAAAATATATAATTTAAAACTTTTTTTTATTCAAATTAATGTTTAATAATAGTTTTGCTTAAACATTGAATCCAGAACAAGGATAATATAAAATAAAAACTAAATTTTAACAAAATAATGTCTCTATAGCCTGTGGGCCAGCTCTAATACATATTTGATATGATCTCGCAGGCCAAATATAATTATATGGCAGGCTTGAGTCTGACATGTCTGCTTTAGATAATCTGTTTGTAAAATTATGTAGTAGGATTTAGTAGTTTTAGTAAATTTGGTAGTTTTATAAATTCAATTATTCAGACTGCACTGTGCAACATTACTGGTGAATGTCCACCACCTTCTTATCTAAATGGAGATGTTTTACTGGAATGTTACACAATATGGAACTCATTTATTTCCATTCCATTTATTTACAACTTATTTCCATTTTCTATATTTTCTGTGGAAATAAGCAGGTGACCAGGCCAAGTGAGATCTGTGGAGAGGCGATGCCAAACTGAGGCCCATGGGGAAAACCAGAAAGATCCATTGTGCATCTTTAAGTATGGCTATTAACATGCTCCAGTCACTGAAGACGATGTTTGCATGTATTATATTCATTGTATTATCTTGAGTTTGTAGCATCTGTGTCATTTGTCTGACTTTACTTAGTTTATATCATATTCACACCGGCAGCTACATGACCCTGCAGTAATTTGCCTCCTCATTAGACCCAATATGAGACAAAGGTCTTGAGAAAAAGTCCTCTTTGTTCACAAATTGCCTGAGAGTGACACAGTGACAGTCATAAGTGAGGCCAGTCTTCTAGAAGCAGGAAACAGCTGCTTCTCTACAGCTACCTTTAAAGTGAAGTTCAGCCTGTGCGGATCACATATCAGGACCTCAGGCTGCAAAGGGTTAAAAGGCCCATCCCAGAACCAGGACTCTGTCTAATCCTGGATCAAGTCCTGCTCTGGCCCGAAGCTCTGTTCTAGTCATGTGTTAAAGGTGTTTTCAGAAGAGGATTAGCCAGCACATAAAATGAGAGGTGTTTAGCTTGTCGATCCTCGTAACATTGTGAACACTTTGATTTCATTTCATTTCAAAAGGGTGATAAACTATGTGAATACATTAAAACTACAGCAGATGTCAGAGAACTGGTTTATTTGCATTATTTCAACTGTTGCCGGTAATACAGGGAAAGTGACTGATCCGATGATAAGCTTGGGCTCTGTGGAAATCCATCGCACATAATGATTCATCTTATTCAAGTAAACGTACCTGTAAAGTACATTGACAAAGTAATTGTTCGCCAGGCCGAAGTTACTGGCAATGACTCCATTTATCAGCAACGCTAAAAGACTGACAACCATACGCAAAGAATAAGGAATGAATAATCGGAAATATTCAGCGGTGGAAGAATATTGTTACTTAAGTAAAAGTACAGATACCAGAGCAAAAAATACTCAAGTAAAAGTAAAAAATATCACATGGAAAAAAGCAACTAAAGTAAAAGTATTAAACTTTAAAAATGCACGTAAAAAGTACAAAGTAGAAGTATTTTGCACAGATTTTGAGATCTAATAAAGCTTCAAATGTAATGATTTTGATAAAGATTTGTGCAGAATTTTGTTCAACAGAAACAGTTGATTAAATGGTCTTTTTCATGCTGTTTTTGTTTGTACATTTTTTTATTTGCTCAAGCTATGAACGTGTTAAAAATAAACCCTTCAACCTTTTCAGAAGGTCTCAAACTATAATAAAAATACTTCTCAGTCCATTTTAATGTGTTCTCAGTAAAGTAAAGTAGTTCTTTTTTACTTTTTTTTTACCTTCCACCACTGGAGATATTGCATATATTGAAGCTGGGATCATTGGAGAAGGAACTTTTGTAAAACAAATAAACATTCACACTTCTTTGACTTGTAATTTGTCTATTTACAGAGACAAATTGAGCAAAAGAAAACAGCAGCAAAAGCTCACATTTGTTTGAGTTGGATGAGCACTTAAAATACAGTTTTCACAAGTGTTTATTTTGTTTGGTCTCCATGGATGACACTACCTGTAATTGTTTTTTTTCCACCTTCCACCTCTCCGTGTTCACAAAAACAACCAATCACATCACCCCGGCAAACATTTCAGAGCCATTTCTCAAACCCACGCCTCAAATCACTCTCCATAATGAGCGACTTGTGTACGCTTAAAGCTTGTGGTGAAGCTGTTTGCTGTTCACAATGCTAACTACAGGCCCAATCTTGTTCGAATTATAATTTACACAAGCTGCAATCTCTTTTTCCCATTTTCAGAAAACCTCATTGCAGTTGGCTGGAGTGATATAGGTTAAATCGGTGTGCTGGGTGCGTGCCTGTGGAGAGAGGGAGTGGAGCTGTGGGCCCTTGCTTTGATTTGTGCTTGTCCCTGGATGCTCCTTTTTTTCTGGGATCATTATGTTAAGCCCTGCAGCTACTCTCTCTCAATAATAACTCTTATTGAGGCTCATATAAAGGCAGTTTGATGATTCACACTCGGGGCAGGGCACACACTATTACGCGCTAAAATGCAAATAATATTATGAAAGTATGTTTTTTCAATCTGGTGCTATGTCAGAAAACTATCAATTACACTTTTGTTCTTTTAGCGACACTAAAACATTTTTCTGTGTTATAATGCTTCCTCATTACAAACATACCCAGAGTTTTGTTTTCTTCATTCACACGTTTAACTCGCAAATTCTACATCTTTAGACTGAGTTCTTCTCTCAACAAAAAATACTCCTTGCTCCTTCTTGTGCTGTCATATGCTCCACTGTTTTAAACTCCATTCACCTTTAGAATAATTTGGATAATTTCAGCCTTGGAAATCTCTGCTGAACTAAAGGTGAAAGGTAGCTGTTGACTTGAAAAAATAAAAAGGTGGAACTGAGCATTTTGAGCTTTGGAGATGTAAAAGATAAAAGATTAATCAAATATTAAAACCCAAAAAACCCAAAACAAAACACAGCTCCAGGTATTATAACATAACTTAAAGCTCACAAGAGTCAATTTTTGAGACTATTAATACTGTATTGTATTTGGATTACCTGTATGTAGCTGTTCTGTTCTTTTCTTTGCCACTTATTATTCAGATCTCTCTTTTTATAGGCCTGGAAAAAAAGATTTTTGGAAGATGTGCAAACCGTGAACGCAGTGAGTACAGGATTCATTTGATCTTATCTTTTATCATAATACAACTTTGACATAATATCATGTTTAAAAGTTTTTTTTCTTCTTCTTTTAGAACAAGGTTAGCAATACATGGGTTGAGAGGGGTGGTGAAGAGCAAGACTGAAAAGAGAAATGAGTTAAAGCTGATGATTGCATTCCTCTGTGCAAAGGTAACTCATGTCCCGGGGCTAAAGAATCAGGCTGTGCTTCACTACTATTATTTTCTGCACAACATCAAACTTATAAGAGCAAAGGTTACAGCGCGGAGTACATATCGTGGTTTATGTTTAGGTTCAGAGTTATGTATGCATGTAACTGTCACATTACTTCACAGAGCCATGCACAGCTGCTTGTCTAAACTGTTTTCTTATATTCAAAGTTAGTGTGGTGTCTCCTAAATAACGTTTCAAGGTAGATTTACAGACAGAGTAGTTAATAAGTAACTTATGACCATATCTCTAATTAGAACAGTTTAATAAAATCTCTATAGAGCTTTATAATATCCTGTAAATACCACATAAGGCACAGTATTTTAAGTGCAATTGTAAGAAACCTAAAGCAGCACTATATAACTTTTCTAGTGGAGGGTCCTTTCTGCAAATCTGACCTGTAATTTGGCCTGATGCTTACTTTTCTGCTGGAGGGTCTGCCACCTGCTTGTCTCCATGGAGATGCATGGGGATTGCTTTCTCTGAATCTG